ATAGGAACACTAAGTTTTTTCACGCTATGGCCAATCGAAATAGGACTAAGAATCACATTCATAAAATTATTAATAATGACGGTACTACTATTGAGTCGGAGGAGTTAATTTGCAAGTCTGGTGTGGAGCATTTTAAGAAAATTTTCAATGACCATTTTAGCAATGTTCCTTTAATTAATCCTCAAGTTATCCCTCATATTATTAATGATAATGACAATAACTTTCTTTGTCAACCTCCTTTTGACATAGAAATTTATAATCTTGTCAATGATTTGAATGGTGATTCGGTTGCAGGTCCTGATGGATTTATGACCAATTTTTTTCAAAAAATTTGGGATATTGTTAAAATGGATGTGATGGAAGCGGACAATGATTTTTTTGTTGGTAACCCTTATCCTAAATTTTTTACTTCCACAAATATTGTGCTTATTCATAAAAAAGAATTGGCTAATAAAAGGAATGAATTTAGACTAATTAGCCTTTTCTCCTTCCTTAACAAACTCATTTCTATAATCTTTTCCAATAGATTGGTGAATATTCTCCCTAGAATTATTTATAGTAATCAAACGGGGTTTGTTAAAGGTAGGAGTATTTTTGATAATGTTCTTTTGGCCCAAGAGCTTGCGTAAGATATTAATACCAAGGCTAAATGTGGTAATATTATTTTTAAATTAGATATTTTGAAAGCGTACGATAATCTTAACTGGAATTTCCTTTACAATGTGCTCTCTTTATTTGGTTTTAGTGACTGTTTTATTAAGCTTATCAAGAATAGTATTGATAATTGCTATTTCTCCGTGATCATTAATGGTAGAAATCAAGGTTTTTTCAAATCTTCTAAAGGTTTAAGACAATATGTTAATATTTCTTCTGCTCTTTTCATTATTGCTATGAAGTACCTTTCAAGGGGTATTGAAGATTTATATTTAAGGTACCCAAAGCTTTTCTTTCATACTGTTCAGGGTATCTCGATATCCCATCTTTGTTTTACTGATGATTTCATTCTTTTTTCTAATGGTTCTATTAATAATATTATAATTTTTAGCAATTTCATTTTACAATTTAATGCTTCGAGTGGCTTGGCCATTAATAAGGATAAGAGCAATTTTTTTGTTGGTAAGTCTATTAATAGGGATGGGATTATTCCTATTCAAAGAATATGTGGTTTTCAGTCTAGTTTGTTGCCCATTAAGTATTTGGGTACTCCAATATATAAAGGTTAAAAGAGAAGTCATCTCTTTGAACATATTTTCACTAGCCTTCATAAAAAGTTAACCCATTGGTCTTCTAATTTTCTGTCTTTTGTGGGTAGATTGGTTCTTATTAAATATGTGTTGAATTCTATTCCTATTTATTAACTTCATATCCTTCAACCGACTGTTTCCATTTGCCTTAGAATTGAGATAATGATAAACAAGTTGTTTTGGGGCTCCAAGTATAATAGTAATGGTATTCGTTGGGCCTCTTGGAATAACATTTGTGGTGTCTATAATGAAGGTGGCTTAGGTTGTAAAAACTTATTTTGAACAATAATGTTTGGAATCATCAAAACTACATAAGTTGCATAAATATAACTCATTCAAATAGCAACTATTCAAACACTCTTTTAGTGCTAAGTTTAGTTTATGGACTCATTTTATGAATGCCAAATACTGCAAAGATTCTCATCCTTTACTTGGTGTTTATAAAGTTTCTAACTCTATGACCTGGAAAAGGCTCTGTAAAATTAAATGGAAGGCTGAGCAGTTCATTCCATGGGGTTTAGTCAAAGGGAATGTTTTCTTTTGGCAGGATAATTGGTTGGGGCCTTATTATATTGATAATTATTTAAATACCCAATCAATTGATAATGTTAAGGTTTCTAATTTTATTTCTAATGGCTGCTGGAATGTGACAAAGCTATTGAAGGTTATTCCTTCCAATCTTATTGACATTATTTTGTTGGTTCCCTTAGATTTGCTATACAAGGATAAAATCCTTTTTACTCTATCTTCTTCTGGTAAATTTCAAATGAAAAAGGTGTGGGATACTTATAGAATTAAATATAATAATTCTCTTATTTATTCGGCTATCTGGCATAACAATATCCTTGTTTCTTATACCATTTTAGCTTGAAGATGCCTTAAGGGTTTCATTCCTGTGGACGAATTAATTCAGAAAAAAGCTTTAGTTTCCCTTCCAAATGACAATGTTGCTCTAAAATTGAAAATGTTAATCATCCTTTTGTGAATGGGAAAATTGCTCACAAGGTTTGGAATCTTTTTATTAACATTGCTAAAATCAATTCTGTGGTCATTTCCAATGATTTACCTATTTTATTAAAAGGATGGATGACTTCTTCTAAAGGTCACATTTTAAACTTAGTTCATATTCATAATTTTGTGGTTCATTTGGAAAGCTTTAAATGAAGCTAAGCATAGTGACATCAAAATGGATGCTAATCAAATCATTTCTAATATCAATCATAAAATCCTGCATCTGTATTCTTTCAATCTTATTTCGGCTAAAAAACTTTAGCAATTGTAGGGATATAGCTGTCTCTCTTGGGATTCCTTTGGGTGAGGGGAATCTAATGGGTTTTGACAAGATGGTTACTTGGATTAAACCTAAATTTCCTTTTGTTAAGTTAAACTCGGATGGATCTGTTACGAACTCTTGCGCTGGTACGGGAGGAATTCTCCGCGACCACCAGGGTAATGTTTTAAAGGCTTTTGCTGGTCCTTTACATCATTGTACCATCATCACTGCTGAACTTACTAGTTTATCTTATGGTCTTGACATTTGTACTAAATCGGGCTTTAACAATATATAGATTGAGGTGGATGCTCAACTTGTGGTTCAGATTATTAACAACCTCATGTCTGGTAATCCTCAAATTTTCTATCTGATCAGGAAAATCAAGAAGTCCCTTTCTACTATCAACTATTCCATTTTGCATACTTATCATGAAGCTAATGCATGCGCTGATTGGTTGGCCAATTTAGGGTGTCAACTTGAAAGTTATCAGGATTTGAACATCAGCCATCTACATCTGATATTGAAAGGTATGATTACCCTAGATAAATCTGCTTTACCCTATATTCTCCATGTTTGATATTGTAGATTCTTCATTGCCTTTGGTTCCCCTCATGGTCATTTTGTGGGATTGCAAGGCTAGCCCACTGGATATTGTTTTTGGCTGTTCTTGAAAGTTGGATGTTTATTTTCCTTTCACTGTTCCTGTTAGTTTTTGGTGATTGTTATTTACTTCGGATGGTGAGTTGTAGTTTACTGGGTGGGTTTGCATCTGCGATGTTTGTCTGAGTCCTTATTGGTTCTTTACTACTTTGATGTATTGTTGTTGGGTTCTGAAAGTTATGTCCTATTTTGCTCAAGCCAGCAAGGATTTTGTGGGCTGCTTCATTGTGGTTATTTCTGGGAGTTATCTTCACTTTTAAGTTATGGGTTTTCGGTTGATGTTTATTTTTTATGTGATATGTGATGGTAATCTGGTCTTTAATGCTTTTTTTATTAACATGGTTTATTGGTTTGTGAGGCGGAGAGATATGCCCTGCTTTTTTCATGCCTGGAAGGTTTTTGAGGGTTGCTTCTTTAATCTGATTATTTTGATCTCTTTCCTCTTTCAATATCTGGGGTGTTAGATCTCGTATATGCTTTATGTTATCTGGTACAAGGTGAATTTGCATAAGGCCAGTAATTTAAGGTTTGTTTGTTCTGTAAGGAGGGTGGTACTTCTTTGTTCGTCCCTAGTTTTTGCAAAAGTTTATATTTGGTTTATTACTGGTCTCCGTAGTTTTTTATGCTTGTCTGCTCCTTTTGTAGTATCTTTTTTGAAGATTGAAGGGCTCGACTTGCTCGTCGCTCGTGTTTTTGTCTCTGCGCGATTTTTCGGGTAATTGTGGTTTGAACCACTTTTTTTGCATAAAGACCGGGCTTATTGATTTACTCTTGCTCTTCCTTTTTTGGGTGCTGTCGTCTTGTAACCCTAGACTGTCATTAGATATTTTTGTAATTATTAGATTTGGGAACCATTGGCTCGGAGGTTTTATTTCATTTTATTTTGTAGCACTTGCGAGCATTAGTGAGCTGAAGGTTCCTTTTAAGGACTTTGTAACCATTTTTTTTTATATTAACGGGTAAGCCCCTCTGTGGATTTTAACCTATATATATATATCATCTGAAAACTAGCTAAATTACCTACATCACTTGAATGTCAAAATAATTTTTCATAAAATAATAATAGATTTTTTGATATTTCAAAGCATTGTCTTCAAGACATAATAGATATCCTGAACTTATTTTTATGTGCACAATTGTTAGAAAAACATATATTTTAATCTTATTAAAGTTATCATAGTCATTAAAGACACCAAAGGCTTTGATGAACTCTTGCAGCATGTAGAAGCCAAAGGGAAGATATGATTTTCTCTGTGATTTAATAACTAATGATGTAGAAAAAAGAGTGGAGATAAAAATAAAAAAGTATTAATTAATTTGGACTAGTTATCAACTAATCATTAACTTTGTAAAAAATAATTACAAATTTTATACATAAGTAGTTGGGTAACACTAATAATGTTGTTATATACATTTTTATTTGGGACAGAGACATTTCTCTCTTATGCAACTTAAAGTTTTATACCCATTGTAGATAAAAACCTAGTACCTAACAGTTAATGAGCAAATCATGAAACATAACTCCTTATAGAACTTATGTTGATGATAAATCATATAAAAATTATGTCATTCTAATTGTTATAATATATGAATGAATGACTTAATCATTATAAGAGTCAGCTTCTTTAATCATGAAACGCATGTTGCTTAAACATAAGTGGAAAGAAAGCTAATGACTTTCCAAATGTTTAAGTAATATCAAGACTTAATCATTTTTGAAATTCAATTGAAAAACAATCACATATCAAATGGGTTCAATAAGACTAAGTTATATCAATTATATATCACATATCAATTTAACCAAGATCAAGCCAAATTTATTGATGAATTGAAGGTTATTTAATGGAAATTGGAGTTCAATAATATTGCATTACTCTCCAAAAAATCATTAAATTCACATGAATTTATTCTTCCTTTATAAAGCTCTATTTAACAATTCCATAGAATATATGAATTCATGAAATGAAGTTAAAATTTGAATTATTTTAAGTTTTCAAAATTAAAGGTCAGAACATGACCTTTGAGCTTCAAATTTTAATTATAACTAAATAAGCTCAAATGTAGTTGGGACAATTATGCTTAAGCTTCTTCAAGCTATCCTCCTATGAATTGATCTTACAATATTTTGCACGTAAGAAGTAACATCTATATGATTTTTTTTTTTTTTACTTTTTTTTGTTTATTTAATCTCATTTTATTAATCTTTGAATTGATGAGATTCTTATTTGAATGAAATAATTTTTTTTTTATTAATTTTCTTAAGATGATACAATCTAAATTTAATTTTTCTAGCTAATTTTATTTTTGTTCCTAACTTATCATGACATGTTGTTGTTGTTGTTGCTGCCTAACTCATATGTACGAGGTAAAACTTTGTTAGAAGGATTCCTTTAACTGGAAGTTGATTCTCTAAGAGAGTTGACCATTGTTAGGAAGTTGACTCATTGAAAAGTTGTCATTTTCTAGCAAGTCAAGTATTTGAAAAAGTAGGCGATTTCCCCTTAGCCAATGTTAACCAGGTCAAAAGCAACACATCATTAAAGCTTCCTAAGTTGATACATGATGATTGTAAAGATATAGATACATTCATGTGGTGGATATCACGTTAAAGTAAACACAAGAAATACTTAAAGGCCGTGGAGGGCTTTTGCGCTTCTTTCTATAATAGCATTGTCTTCATATTTATTTTTCATTATGGTTTCTTGTGCCCCGAGCTTTCTTTGGTCTTCTATGTACTGTGTTCTAGTGCTAGAGCTTTTTGTTCTTCCATCTTCCTACTTCCTATATAGGCGAATAGATAATGTTTGATGAAATGTTATTTTGTAATTAGATTTGTGAACGTGGCTTCTTCATTGAATGTCCCTTGTGAGTTGTGATTATTGATAACAAAGAATTTTTTTCCTACTTTTGACGAAAATATGCTATGTTGAGTACCCAATAGTTATCTCAAGTCATACTCGACCATTTATCCCTGGTGTATATACCTAGAACAAGTCGTTATTTGATATAGATGGGCCTCATATTACGCCAAAGTTCTCATCATCACAAAAGAAAATATCTCAAAGACTCAGATCTAAATCAAATTTCTCACTCTCAAAATTGATATTGTGGTAAATTGAGAGTCTAATTTTTAGGACTGGACTTTGACTCCTTAAATCAAGGTTCCATGCGATGTTTTGTTTGTGCAACCATATAGTCACGTGTTATAAAGCCATTAGCTGACTTTAGATATAGGGAAATACAAAAAAGTTATGAATTCTAAATTAAGAAACAATTTCTACTCCATGTATAACGAGTGGGAAATGAGTATAATCAACTTGATAAGCACCAACATGGGTTGCCGGGTTGACCTGGCCCGACCCGGTTCGGGTCGAACCCGCTGCTGGCGGACGGCGACGGACGGCGACGCGGCGGGCGAGAGCTAACTTAAGAATTTTTTAAAAAATAAAAATTGTATTGAGTATAAAGTATAATTGATCATATTTACTTTATTCCCCTTGAATGAAAGTTATGTTTTAAGTTTTAGAGTGACCACTACATCAAGTCTATATTATCCATCTACCTGAGGTTCATAACTCCTTTGTAGGGAACAATCTCATTTTTAAACTTGGCCTTAAGTAGTGACCACTCTAGTCACCAACTTAAGTTGGTCTACCTCTTTTTAGCTAGTTGAGAATGAAATTAGTAAAACTATTTTTCTAATTTTGATCTAATTTTTGAACATTTCATGTTTCTTGGCCTAAAGTTTAATAAACTTCAAATAAAAAAAAAGTCCCTAGCATTATGATTTTGTCGAGTACATACACATGTTAAGATTCTAATGAATGAATTTTGGATTCTTGTATTACTGCTTTTATTTTAGATATCCTCTAATCTAATACACTTTTAGTCATTAGTTGATATCTAATAGTGGAATAAGCCCATTTTTGTAAAGTGTAGGTGATTGTTTGATGTTGTTGCATATGAATATGATCATTTTTTTAGTTAACATAAAAAGCCATAGTCATTCTGATAATGATTTGCCCCTTGCAAAAGAGGAACTAGTGAGTGGATGGGCTTTTATATTATAACATGAATTGATAAATGGATCTTATTTATATGATTAGTTGATATAGTAAAATAATAATTATAATTTTTTTATATATTGAAGTGATCAATTCTTATGTATCAATTTATAGTTATAGAGCAATCTATAATTTGGAGAAAATGATTTGTTTATTAAGATACTTTCATTTCTTAATTTTTCCTAATCATTATTACATGCCTGTTAGAGAACTATTGAGTAGTCTTTCAACTCTTTCCTCTAATAATTATCTAAGCACTTACATATATTGTAATAGAAGGAAGAAATCAATATTCACTTTTTTCTGAAATATTTTTCCCTTGTTTGTTTTGATCAAAGTTAAAAAATATATTTTTTTTCATTAATATAATTAATAATTAGAATTACTTATAGGGATAAAATAAATATTTTTATCTTTTTATCACAGAAAATATAATTTGAATTTTTATATTATAAATTTTTATATTTAATTTTTTATTCACATGTATTTAATGCACGTGCAGTGAAACTAATTATCCAAATCTTGGCTGCAATTTATTCTTTTAAAAAATTATATGAAATATTTTAACTTACAATATTGCATCAGATTTCCATCTATGTGGCGAACTCTATTTTTGTGAATTCCACTAAGTGTCATAACAATTTCTATTTAAAATTAGATTTTTCTCACATAAATAAGCACTTCTATTTTAAGTGAAATTTCCCTTCACAAGATTGTAAAAACATCAGAATCCAAGCACATGGAAGACCCGTGCAACCCCACAAAAAGCTCAACCAATATAATTGAGGTCCCATACACAACTACAACTTGATTGATCGACACAATCATATTCTACACAGAGCTAAAAATTTGTTCTATTTGTGAGTTGGTTTTTCTATTTTGTAAAATAAATTACCAATTTTATAAATAATCTAATAAATTGATATAAATCCTCTAATTAACTGACAATTTTCTTATACCCTAAACTTAATTCTCACGCAATTTACTATTAAAGTTTTTCGTGTTTCTTTCCTTTAAAAATAAAATGTTATGTCGTGGGAAAGATGTAATCATATTCTAACTTTTCAACAATCATCATTAGTTTTTATGTATATACTTGATCAAACATAGGGCCTGATCTGATGACTGATATCTTTCAACAAATTTGGATTGAAAAGAATGCAAAAAAATTATGACTTGATATCAAACTAAAAATTATGAAAAAATCAACAAGTTGGTAATATAAGAACAAGCCCAAGCAATAGACATTTATTTCCTTCTTTATTGGCCAAAACCCTTACTTGATCTCTTCTTTCAAAACCTAATCTTCCCTTGAAATAATGACTTATATTCTAAACTAAATTCCTAATAATTCCATTATGCACAATAATCCATCGCCTATAAAGCCCCACCTCCACTTGGCTTACTTCTTCAATTTTTCCTAAGCAGAGCTTCAAAGTTCTATTCTCATGGAGAGTTCTTCTTCTCTACTCTCTCATTATATTCTTCTCAATCTCTTCTTCTTTTTGCTTCTAATAGAGAAGAATTTTCTAGTATCAGTGGGAGAGCTTGCTAGAGAACACCATGTCATTGACGTCAAGTCACTCTTGCCGAGCAGCTCCTGCTCCATGCTTGATAAAGGTTTGTGAACAATTTCTATTTTTTTTAATACCTATTTGGAAACCTTTTTTTTCATAATTAATTAGAATAATAAGAAATCATGGAACATTTAAGCTCATTTGTTAGGTATCACAAGCTTAAATGTGATGCCAAAGAAAAAAATTCAATATGTACATTAATCAGCTATTCCAATTATGACAGGCATGAGCCCTTACAAGCTCAAGGTCATCCATCAGAATGGCCAATGCTCATCCCAAGCACGCCAGGACAATACATCACATGTGGAGCTCCTCCGTTGGGACCAAGCCCGGGTCGACTACATCCACCGTCGGGCTGCCAAAGCCACCGCCATCCTCAATGCTAGTGGAGGCTCTCTTTTCGCAGGAGTTCCAGTAAACATCGGCATAGCTCTTAATACCGACCATTATATCATTAAAATAGGCCTAGGCACCCCTACAACGTCCTTCTCATTTGTTTTTGACACAGGTAGCGATCTCACATGGACCCAATGCCTTCCTTGCATTAATTGCTATGACCAAAAAGACCCATTTTATGACCCAACCCAATCCTCCTCCTTCGACAACATCCCATGCAACTCTGAATATTGTGTCAAACTAAATCATTTTGGTTGCTCCTCTACCTCGACATGTCTCTACCATGAAGAATATGAGGATGATTCTTATACTAATGGCTCCTTCATCCAAGACAACTTAAAATTCTCCTCTAATATAATACAAAACTTCAGCTTTGGCTGTGGACATAATAACAGCGGGGAATTTGGACAAGTAGATGGGTTGCTGGGCCTTGGTCGGGGGGATCTTTCAATTATTTCCCAGACAGCTCAATTGTATAATAAGGTATTCTCATATTGTCTACCATCAGGGCCCAACAAAATTGGATTTCTTGAACTAGGTAGTTCTGTCCCTAGTGTGAATTATACACCTATGTTATCCAACCCAAACCTTCCATCCTGGTACTTCCTCAAACTCATTGCCATTTCTATTGGGGGAACAAGGCTCCCCCTTTCATCTACTGTATTCACCGGCCCAGGAACCATGTTGGACTCTGGCACAGTGATTACCCACCTGCCGCCCACTGCCTACTTCGCTCTCCGTAACATATTTCAACAGTACATGAAAAGATACCCAACAGCGCCGCCACTAAATAATCTTGACACATGTTATAACTTAACTAATTACGAGAAGGTGTCGGTTCCCTCAATTGTGTTGATCTTTGACCAAGTGACTGTTAATTTAGATTTCATGGGGATAGTTTATATAGCCAGTAATTCTCAAGTGTGCTTAGCCTTCGCTGCAAATTATGATGATGATGAGATTGTGGTAATTGGAAATACACAACAACGCAGGTACATTATTGTTTATGATCTGAGGAAATCAAAAATTGGCTTCAGGGCTAATGGTTGTAGCTAGTGATTGATTGATCAGGTTGAGTTTGTTGTATGCAATGTTTTGTTGTAGCTAGAATGAAATGGTTTTTTCATGTAGGTTATAAAATTTGGGCACCATGGATAATAAATGTAGTCATGAAAAAAGTTCATTGTATCAAAATTTTGTGAAATAATTAAATATCAAATGAAGTAAACTTTGTATGAGTCGATGAAAACTATAAAGATGTGCTAAATTTTCTTATAATTAAGGGTGAATTATGATATTAATTGTTAGACGTTAGAACTTTGATTATCAAAAGTAAAATGTCATCTTTCTATGAGCAAAAGCTTATACTTAGCACAAAAAGTTTTGTCAGCACTTGCTCGATCCACATCAAATCAATTCAAATACACACTTACTTAGACATTGGGAGTACGTAGCCCCACTAGCCCGTTAGATTTTTTTTCCAATGAAGAAATGGTAAGGTAGGCCTCTTATGCTTTACATAAATATAAAAATTTTTAACATAAAAATAATAGATTTTTGTAACCAAAAAAAAAAAAAAAGAATAAAGACTACCTGTTGTGATGAATTTTATTCAGTGTCAGACCCTTACAAAGTAAAATCATCACTTTTTTTTCTTCAAATTTACCCTCTTGGTTCTAATTTTTACTTCAATTTTCTTTTTTATGTGTTCTATAAATGGAAGTATTTAAGGCTTGTGAGTTTTGCCAACCCATTAGGCCATACAACTTAACACCTTAAAGCTTTGATGCAACCAAACTTATATTCCTTAACTATGGGGAAATATATACCAATTTAGGTAAGCTCACACAGATCATATACAGAGCCTTTGAATACAAGAACTATGTTTGGAAGCTTTCAAAAAAGTTGTGTAATGATGAATTATGTGATTTATATTTGTGTAATTTCAATGAATTTTATATAAATATTTTGCTCCCACTTGAAAAAAATCCTGGGCTCCTCTACTACCTGCATGCATCATGTATGTGTATGTTCATCCATAAAAAAGTTCTAATCTCGAGCTCAGGCTTCAGTGAGTGGGGATAAAGGATTGAAATTAAAGCCCTTTTGAAAGTGTATAATTAAAATTTTGCACTTTATCTGATCAGTGATATAAATTGAAATGTTTCAAACACATTAAGCTCTTATAATAAAATAAAAGGGTGAATTTAGGGGGCATGAGCGGACAAATGTTCTCACTCAAAATAAAATCAATTTTAAAGTTTTAAGAATCTTATTTTGTTGATAAATTGGATTGTTCTGTTTCCTCAGACCTCAAGTTTCTTGAGCTCACTAGGGGGTTCGCACCCAAAATTATTTTTCGTAAAATGCCTCAGCATTATGTATCCGAGTACACTAGTGTTGTGTATCTGATCTTGGTATTCATGAGTGCCCCGTCATTGAACAAAGGTGAGTGGAGTGCCATAGCAAATCAAGAGAGAGGTTTAAGCATTGTAAATCCCCAAACTTGGGCCGCAGCACTACGAGATCGACTAGGTGATATTCTTTCTCATTTTTCTATAAGATTCCATCCCTTGGGGTAATTTTACTTGGTTTTGTCTTATATATTGAATTTATAGACATTGAGAGTAGTGCATGGGAGAAGAGAAGCAAGAAGAGAGTGAGGGGGAAGATAAATTTGTACTTATTTCTCCCAATTTTCAAAGTGGAGTTCTTAGTGTGGTGTCGCTATGTAATTTTTCCCTATTTTGAGGTTTTCCATGATAAATCCTAGTGTCCTTTATTTTTTGGTTAATAATTTAGCCTGCAGCAATTCCATTCAAGCGTTTGGAGTTCGGTTGGAGATGCCCTTAGTAATACATTTATATTTTAGTATGATAACTATTGCATTATTATTTCATTTAGAAAATAATTTAATTTTAAAAATAAAAGTATAAATTAGTTATATGATTCATAACTGTAAGTCATATTAAAAAATTTAAAATAAATTAGTAATAATTTATAAGTTATTATAACTAATATGTAAATTAATTTTTTATTAAAAATATTATTTTAATTATATTATTATCAATAACGTCATTCGATTCAAGTTTTAGTTGGGAGTTTTGATTATCAATCAAGAGGTCATGTATTATAAGTTGATGTATGCGTTAGTTTTCCTTTAATTGAGTCAAAGTCACAAAAAATATATACATTTGTTATATCATAAAAAAAAAAGTCTTGATCGGGCTGAAATCTTGAGGCAAAAATAAGTCCCAAACCATCCGAACTCACATTTCAGCGAACATATATTGAATGATTTTTAACAAATGATATTTTATTTCTTCGGCAAGATTTATCATGTGTTAGCATGAATTTAAATATAAAATTAATGATCATTTCCCTTTATTATCATAGTTGGATATTTGACTGAACTTTATTTTGACCCTCTAGGGTAATATGTGGTTAACTCTTAAATAAGGCCATAATAGCCAAGAAAAAAAATTATAATTATAGGTCTAAACATTTTAGGAGATTTTATCTCTGCCTTTCGAGGCAGTATATCATCTCTAATGGTGTGTTCGACTTCAGAATTAAAATTTAAACTTGAAAGTTAGTTAGGGTTGTTAAGCCCTTACGAACTAGTCCCAAGGCAAAAGGGTGTGTGTGTGAAAAACTTCTTTAAATAAAAGAGAAATCTTTTTATATCTTGCAGCAGAAATGAATTAAATCAATAATAAAAAGATTAATCAAAGTGTTCACCCAAGCAGTTAATCACAATAAAAATAAAGAGTGGAAATAATAAAGGAAAGAACACATTAGATTTATAGTGGTTCGGTCACACCTTAACCTACGTCCACTCCTTGGAGGCGACCATCGAGTATTGCACTAAACTGAGTGTCTCTCCTTTAGCCCCCACAGTTAAGTGGAGAATCCCTTACAAAATCATTTTCACCTTCCCTGGTGCGGCGGAGTAGACGGGCCCTTTGATACCAAAGAGATCTTCTTCTTTCCAAAACTTCCCTCAAGACAAGCCTTAAATCTGATGGTACTAAGGTGGAAGCTCTTCGGAGCAACCGTGTGGAACCCCCTCCATACTCCCTTGAAACCCCTTTAAGGATCATCTCCCTCTCTCAAACTCCACCCTTTCAAACTCTCTCTCTTTAAGTTTTCTCAGAAGAACAAAATTTCAATGGTTGTTAAAGACACTTACAAAGTGCCTTATTAAAGCTTAAATAGAAGAGCTCCAAATGAGCTCATTAATTTTAACTTGCCGACTTTATCATCCAGGACGATATGAATATCGTCATGTATGATAAGTGTAAAATAAGCTTAATCAGCCAGGACGATTAGGGATGATTAGAAGGTTTTTGTTCATATCGTCCAGGCCGATAGTATCTCGTCCAAGATGATTAGTTCAAATCAGCACATATCTTCCAGAGCATTTCCTTGAATAGAAGCTATCTGATAAATGATCGTTCAGGAAAAACTAATGTTTTTGAATTGATCGTCCTGGTCCATTCTACGATTATCCAGGATGATGTGATCCTATCAATCAAGCGTTAATTGCTTTCCTTAATTATCAGATTAATTTAGGCATAATTATGCTACATCATCCAGGACATCGTCCTTGATGATATTAAAAAAAAATAATACCTAAATAGATCTGGCGGCTGATTATTTTTAAATTGAGCCTATTGTCTCGACTGATACAAAGATTGTCCAGGACGATGTGCTTAAAGATGGTTGCCTTAACTAGGATGCCCTAATTAGGATTTTTATTTTCAGTTGATTGTCCAAGCCAATGTTTGGATTGTCCCGGACGATGTGAGCAAAAAATAAAGAACTCTAAAATAGAAATAAGTGAGCAAGGTAGCAAGCAAACACCCTTACAAACTAAGAAATACATTAATCAAAATTTCAAATAGAACATGTTCTGCCAAAACTTGAGCCTTGTAAGGTGCACTCTAATCCTAAAATATTAGTAAACACAGAAAGAAAAATTTATTGCAAATATAGGTAGACAACAAAAAGTGAGCCACAATATTTGTTATCATCAAAAACATAAACTCATAAGCTTCAGTTGCAACAAAACTTAGTTCTAAATTTTCCAAAAGAAATTTTCAAAACTTAAAATAGTTATCTTTGGAAAAATTTAACCAACGACAATCATTATTGTCATGCTTGAATATTTACTAAATAATGATATTTTCTTCCTTAGGGATATATATCATTTGTTTATAAAGCTTTGGGTATGAAATCAATGCTAACTCACCTAGAATATAATGGTTAGAAAATAGACTGAACTCCATTTTGACCTTCCGAGGTCATATGTGGTTCTCTCTTGAATTTAATCAGGATATTCAAGATAAGATTTGTAATGTTAGATTTAAACCCCATTCCAAAGGTTTATTTTCACTTCATGAAGTGGTATGACTCTCCTAATGGGTTGTTTGGTTTTAAGATTCAAATTCAATTTTAAATTTCTGAAGAAAATTGATATTTTTCAAAACCTTCTTTTAAAAAAATTCTTCCAACAAAAAATGGCACCCTCGATGGGACTAAATCTCTCTCTCCATCTCTAATAATGGCAAAATTTTGTTTTATTAGTAGTCTTAACTACCTTTTTTTTTTTGTTCCCTATACCCATTCCTCTCTTGGGTGAGTGTGGTTAACATAAAATAATAATAATAATAATAAATACATATCAAAAAAAAGGGAGAGGTGAAACTTCTATCAAAAAAAGGGAGAGGTGAAACTTCTATCAAGATTCGAATCTTGATCTTCTTCCCCCAAGCTAATTAGTAGGGTGATAGTGTTATATACATGATGTCAAATTTGACTTAATACATGGAGTCTTAAAATTTGTAAGGAGCTCCACTGATCTTGTTCTCAAGATCATCAATTTCTCAATGTTTTAGCCTTAACCTTCGAATTCCCTTTGACTTATAGAACTGGAGAGAGTTGGGAAACTAATCCTCCTTGAATTTCTCCCTATCCTGTAAGCCTTCAGGAAAGATGAAAGTCTGATCCATTGGGTTTTAGAATTTTGGAGAAGTTCACTGATGATTTTTTTT